TGACATGTCTCTTATGAGAGGTCAATGATTAACCGAGCGAGATATGCTCCCTTGGCTATGCAAGCCTGGACTAGAAGTGGGAATGCTAGTCAGAGTGTGAAGGACATACTCTCAGCAAGTGCTGTAAAACTACTCAGAGCAAGGGTAGTGAACCTTCTCTGAGCAGGTGCTGTAAACCTACTCAGTAAGAGTAGTGAACCTGCTCTGAGCGAGGGCAGTGAACCTACTCAGTAAGAGTAGTGAACCTACTCAGAGCAAGGGCTGAGAACCTACTGCCGGTACCACTGAGTGGTAGGCCGACGTCACGTTGGTCACGTGACTGAGGGAGACTTAAGTACCTGAAGTGCTAACCGGCACTTACACTAGTGGTTTCCCACTACATGACAATATTAAGAACTGCTAACAAAACATAATATAATATAATATTAGCATTAGCATATATATTATAAAATAAAGGAGCACATCCTTGTATAAAATATAACGGGTATGGCCATACTCGTAACAATAAGATGTTTTATAACGGTAGTTTTGAAGGTGATGAATGTGTCTGCAGTTCTAGAGTTTTCAGGTAGGGTGTTCCAGATTTTAGGGCCTTTGACATACATTGAATTTTTGTAAATTTTTAGTCGAACATGGGGAATGTCATAGAGATGTTTGTGTCTGGTGTTATGCCTGTGGATCTTGTCACAACTGTCAAGAAAGCGATTTTAGGTCAAGGTTAATATTGGAATTTAAGGTCCTGTTGATATAGATTGCACAGTAGTAAGTGTGGATGTTCTGAACAGGGAGTAAGTTTAGATCTGTGAAGAGTGGGGGGGGGGGTGTTGCCAGGGGTGGGATTTAGTGATTATTCTTACTGCGGCTTTTTGTTGGGTTATTATTGGCTTTAGGTGTGTTGCTGCATTTGAACTCCAAGCACAGATAGCATAGGTGAGGTATGGATTTATAAGTGAATGGTACAGTGTGAGAAGGGCAATTTGCAGCACGTAGTATTGTATCTTGGAGAGGATCCCTACCGTTTTGGATACTTTTTTTGTTGTGTTGGATATGGGTGCTGAAGTTTAGGTTGTTGTCGAGGTATAGGCCAAGGAATTTGCCCTCATTATGTCTGGCAATTAGAGTGCTGTCGATCTTAATGTTAAGTTGCGCAACACCTGCTCTGCTACCAAACATAATATAGTAGGTTTTGCCAGTGTTAAGTGTAAGTTTATTGCCTGTCATCCAAGTCGATATTTTGAGCAGCTCCTCATTAACAATGGTGTTGAGGGTGGCAAGATTAGGGTGGGAGATGACATAAGTTATGTCGTCAGCAAAGAGAATGGGTTTCAGGTGTTGGGATATGTTTGGAAGATCATTGATGTAAATGAGGAAGAGCAGGGGTCCAAGGACACTTCCCTGCAGAACTCCAGTATCAAGTGGCCATATTGATGAGGCTGTGTCTTTAATGGTGACATACTGATACCTATTAGAAAGGTAGGATTTAAAATATGCAAGCGCATGGCCTCTTATACATAGTGGTCAAGTTTGTGGAGTAGGATGCCGTGGTCTACTGTGTCAAACGCTTTTCTTAGGTCAATAAAAATTCCTAGCTGATATTCCTTATTTTCCAATGCTGTGTAAAGCAGGTCTAGCATTTTTATAATTGCATCATTAGTGCTTTTGTTTTTCCTGAATCCAAATTGGCAGGGGTTGAGTATGTTTTGTGACATTATAAATGAATATAGCCTCCTGTGCACGAGCTTCTAGAAGATTTTGGATAGCAATGGTAAGTTTGATATTGGCCTATAGTTGTTTACGTCTGTAGGGTCACCACCTTTATGTATTGGTGTAACCCTTGCTGTCTTGAGTAGTGGAAGGACACGCACTGAAAGATGGGATTGAGAACATCATCACAGAAATGAGTGAAGAGGACATGTCCGAGATTGTAGATTTTCAGTGAGTAGGGAGGTACTTGAAGGGGAGAAAATGACCAGTCAAGCTGATTTTCGAGACAGAAACAGTGCAGAACAGGATCCTCCAAGAGAAACCATGGTTGAAGTACTTGGCAGAATACAAGAGGGTGTTCCTAGACAGAGACAGAACACAAGGTGAACAACAGCAGCTGAGGGAGAGGACGCAAAAGTGGAAGGAGCTAGGAAGAGAGACAAGGACAGGATCAGCAGAGGACAACCAGAGCAGGGCAGAGCAACAAGAGCAAGCACACACACATCCATCCCCAGAACCCCACAACCAATCATGCTGTCCCAACACAAACTACAATCCACACTCACAGCTCCCATCCAACGCTCAAATATAGAATCCCACAGTACACTACCAGGTCCCCCACCCTCACAGACCCCCCAAAACACAGTGTTGGAGATGAAACTGGAAGTATGGTACACAAAACACTGATGGAATAACAAATAAGTGGGAGTGGCATGCAAGAGTCAAAGAAGCATCACCGGACATTGTAGCTCTCACAGAAACCAAGCTCACAGGTATGATAACAGATGCCATCTTCCCAACGGGGTATCAGATCTTGAGGAAAGACAGAGGGAACAGGGGGGGGGTGATGGAGTGGCACTGCTGATCAAAAACCAATGGAATTTTGATGAGCTGGAGAGAGGAGAAAGTGGAGAAGCAAGAGATTACATAGTAGGAATGTTTCAGTCAGGAGACCCAAAGGTGGTGATTGCAGTGATGTATAACCCATCATAGAACAGTAGGAGGCCAAGACAAGAGTAAGATGAGAGTAAGAGAATGATGGTTGACACACTGGCTGCAGTGACCAGAAGGGCTCATGCGAGCAGAGCAAAGCTACTGATTGTGAGTGACATCAACCACAAGGAAATCGATTGGGAGAACTTGGAGCCACATGGGGACCAAGAAATGTGGAGGGCTAAGATGATGGAGGTGGTACTGGAAAACATCATGTACCAACATGTAAGGGACACTACCAGAGAGAGAGGAGAGGATGAACCAGTGAGACTTGACTTAGTATTCACCTTGAGTAGTGCAGATATTGAGGACATCACATACAAAAGACCCCTTGGGGCCAGCGATCATGTGGTTTTAAGCTTCGAATACACAGTAGAACTACAAGTGGAGGGGGAAGCAGGAAGGCCAGGGCGAATGAAACCAAACTACAAGAAAGGGGACTAAGTGGGAAAGAGGAACTTCCTGAATGGGGTTCAGTGGGACAGAGAACTGGCAGGGAAGTCAGTAAACAAGATGATGGAATATGTAACAACAATATGCAAGGAAGCTGAGGAGAGGTTTGTACCCAAGGGTAACAGAAATAATGAAAATGCCAGGATGAGCCCATGGTTCACCCAAAGGTGCAGGGAGGCAAAAACCAAGTGTGCTAGGGAATGGAAGAAGTATAGAAGGCAAAGGACCCAGGAGAATAAGGAGAGCAGTCGTAGAGCCAGAAATGAACATGCACAGGTAAGAAGGGAGGCCCAACGACAATATGAAAATGACATAGCAGCAAGCCAAATCTGACCCGAAGCTGTTATACAGCCACATCAGGAGGAAAACAACAGTCAGGGACCAGGTAATCAGGCTAAGGAAGGAAGGAGGAGAGATAACAAGAAATGACCGCCAAGTATGTGAAGAACTCAATATGAGATTCAAAGAAGTGTTCACAGAGGAGACAGAAGGGACTCCAGAAAGACGGAGAGGTGGGGTACACCACCAAGTGTTGGACACAATACATACAACTGAGGAAGAAGTGAAGAGGCTGCTGAGTGAGCTAGATACCTCAAAGGCGATAGGGCCAGATAACATCTCTCCATGGTGCTATGTGTACCCCTAACAACAATATTCAACACATCTATCAAAACAGGGAGATTACCTGAGGTATGGAAGACAGCAAATGTAGTCCCAATTTTTAAAAAAGGAGACAGACATGAAGCACTAAACTACAGACCAATGTCACTGACATGTATAGTATGCAGAGTCATGGACAAGAGTGGTGGCACACCTAGACAGGAATGAGCTCATCAACAACAGCCAACATGGTTTCAGGGACAGGAAATCCTGTGTCACAAACCTACTGGAGTTCTATGACATGGTGACAGCAGTAAGACAAGAGAGAGAGGGGTGGGTAGATTGCATTTTCTTGGACTGTAAGAAGGTGTTTGACACAGTTCCACACAAGAGATTAGTGCAAAAACTGGAGGACCATGCAGGGATAACAGGGAAGGCACTACAATGGATCAGGGAATACTTGCCAGGAAGACAGCAGCGAGTCATGGTAGACGGCGAGGTGTCAGAGTGGGCACCTGTGACGAGTGGGGCTCCAAAGGGGTCAGTCCTAGGACCAGTGCTGTTTCTGGTATTTGTGAACGACATGATAGAAGGAATAGACTCTGAGGTGTCCCTGTTTGCAGATGATGTGAAGTTGATAAGAAGAATTCAATCAGACGAGGACCAGACAGAACTACAAAGGGATCTGGACAGGCTGCAGACCTGGTCTGCATATAATTTACACCTGAAAAATTCTAGATGAATTACAGAGATGTTAGGAAGTACAGTGGACCCCCGGTTAACGATATTTTTTCACTCCAGAAGTATGTTCAGGTGCCAGTACTGACCGAATTTGTTCCCATAAGAAATATTGCGAAGTAGATTAGTCCATTTCAGACCCCCAAACATACACGTACAAACGCACTTACATAAATACACTTACATAATTGGTCACATTCGGAGGTAATCGTTATGCGGGGGTCCACTGTATTTCTTCAGCCACAGAGTAGTCAAGTCAGGAAGTGGAATAGTTTGGGAAGCGATGTAGTGGAGGCAGGATCCATTCATAGCTTTAAGAGGAGGTATGATAATGCTCATGGTGCAGGGAGAGTGACCCAGTAGCAGCCAGTGAAGAGGTGGGGCCAGGAGCTATGAATCGGCCCCTGCAACCACATCTAGGTGAGTACACAGACACATACATTTACATACATATTTACATAAAAATAGTGAAATTCCATGAGTTCTTATTCAATTAATTTTAATATTTACAGGTTGGTGAGGGCGATGGGTATGGCTTTAACGTAAATATTGCTTACTCAGGTGGCCTCACTCCTCCAATGGGTGATGCAGAATACATGGCTGCATTTAGAACTATTGTTATGCCAATTGCTAAGGTAAGAAATGTTTAACTTTGAAATTTATATTTAAAATAATGTTTAGACATAGCATGATATTGGAATTAAAAAAGACATTAATAATTCTTCACTTTCATTATGATGGGTTATTACTAGAGTGGAATGGAATAATCCTCACTATCGTATGGAGTCAGATATAAAATAAATATTAATTGTATTTTTAAGGAAAAAATTCTTGGTGGAAAGATTGTGAAGACAAACACACAGGACATGAGTTTGAATAAAAGAAACTAAATAATATTTGTTCCATCATTTGGAATGTTATTTTATGGACTACTGTATCTATTGGTTTCATGTTCAGTTCAGCAACTTTATCTTGACATATAAGGCATTAATATAACTTAAATATGTAGCTCCTAAGTAATGTAATGAACATTGTAATGAACTTATTTTGAAAGAAAAGATGGTTTATTGTTAATTGAAGCATGTATTGTACTTGTATTATATAGGAATGAGCTCATAAACAAGGTTCTCTGGTATATTATATATATATATATATATATTTTTTGTATTTCAGGACTTTAATCCAGATATAGTATTAGTAAGTGCAGGCTTTGATGCAGCTGATGGTCATCCCTCTCCCCTGGGTGGATACAAGGTGTCTGCCAGCTGCTTTGGCAATATGACCAAGCAGTTGATGACTCTTGCTAGGGGCAAGGTAAGTTCTTGTATTTGTTTATAACACACTGGTCATCTTCCATCGAGGTAGGACGACATATTCAGTCTGTATTATTGCAGCTCAAGTGTCCCTCCGATCTGCAACATCCTCATTTACAGGGTTTTTATAGCTTTGGATATGCTAACTTTGCTGTTTCTTTTGTGATTTAGTTTTTTTTTTCTTTTTGTTTTTAACTAGTCATCTGTCTCTCACTGAAGCATGGTGACCCCAAAAGAAACACTTCCACCATTATTCACACAGTCACTGTTTTTACAGAGGTGCCTTGATATGACAGTTTAGATATCACTCATATATACGTACACATATACAGTATTATTGCATTCATGGGGAAGCACTAAACCTGTAGGAAACATATAGCACCAGGAAGAATGGGATGCATTCAGCTTTGATTTTTTTTATTAAATAAGAGACCCTTACTGGCATCAGAGAACCTCTCTTGAGGAAGGGGGGGGGATATGTAATGTATAATCAAGAATGCTTGTAAGTACTGTACTACTATATAGTGTATTTAGATATAACTTCCTTTTACTTCAGCCTTGTATCCATAATGGCTAACTATTGGTGTTCAACCCCCTTCCCCCCCTTTCCCTTTTTTTCTTCAGATCATGTGTCAAATGATGGTACTATATTATTTTAATGATAAAGTGTGTGAATGCTGGTAGATAAATCTATACTTCCAGTATAAATAGAAGATTGTCCTGTGTATTGTCAAAGATATTACATAACCTATTTCTTTTTTATCAGGTTGTATTAGCTCTTGAAGGAGGCTACAATTTGGCTAGTATCTGTGATGCAACAGAGGCTTGTGTAAGAACACTCACCAGTGATGATCCCCCTCCTCTCTCTGAACATGAAATGACAAGACCACCTTGTCAAAATGCTGTTGAAACATTACAGAATGTAATTGCTGTTCAGGTATGTGGCTTCTACGTTCATACAGAATTTACTGTAGAAAAATTATGAAGGGAAGCACCAGTGGTTATTCACATTTCCTTCATGATAATGATAATCTCTATTTCTCTTAAGTAATAAAGGGTAAACTATCCTTATAATGAACCTCCATATAACAGACTTTGGAAATACTAAGCAAACCCCACTGGGTCAGTCAGTTGGAAAACAAAGAACAAAGGCTGTTAGTTACGGTACTGTCCATCAATGTTACAATCATGACCCAACAATCTCTTCTTTACTTAGCACAGTAGCTATTCCCAGCCACCCGACAAGATGAAATTAAGACACATGTGCAACATCTGGGTATCTTTATCGTTGACGTTTCGCCATCCATTGGCTTTATCAATACAAATTCCAGGACATAATATGAAGACAATAGAACTATATACAGAAAATGAGGTAATCAGTCCCTCAGCCTTGGAGTTGGTGCGAAGAGCACCGTAGGTGTGGATGTTCTTGAGGAGAGGCAAGGAGCCTGGCGCTTATATACTAACGTCGGGCGGAAAGGGGACGTGTAGCAGATGAGGGTATAGTCACTGGTAGGCGGGATTCCCCAGTGGAAGTAGGTCCTACCCAAAGAGATGGGTTAGTTGTAGTAGTAGTTGTTGTAGCCATGAAGAAGGTTATGTACATGTCCTCAGAATCAAGATTCCACGATGTTGCGGTGTCTGACAAGTTGTACAAGAATGGTATACAATACTGACAAGATGAAATTAAGACACATGTGCAACATCTGGGTATCTTTATTGTAGATGTTTCGCCATCCAGTGGCTTCATCAATACAAAGCGCCAGGCTCCTTGCCTCTGCTCCAGAACATCCACGCCTATGGTGCTCTTCGCACCAACTCCAAGGCTGAGGGACTGATTACCTCATCTTCTGTATATAGTTCTACTGTCTTCATATTATGTCCTGGAATTTGTATTGATAAAGCCACTGGATGGTGAAACATCTACAGTAAAGATACCCAGATGTTGCACATGTGTCTTAATTTCAACTTAGGAACAGACCAGGACTCAGTCTGTGATGACAGTCCTAAAATTACCAAAGTAACACTCTCATCACTACACCATGCAGGCCTAAGAGAATACATCCAACTAGGATGTCCAAAGTTCTTTTTTCAATGTAATGCCTGGCTCTCTCCCACTGAGGTAGGGTGACCCTGAAAAGAAGAAACACTTTTTTTCAACAAACCGGCTGTATCCCACTGAGGCAGGGTGGCCCAAGAAGAAAAACGAGTTTCTCTTTTCAAATTTAGTAATTTATACAGGAAAAGGGGTTACTAGCCCCTTGCTCCCAGCATTTTAGTCGCCTCTTACAACACACATGGCTTACGGAGGAAGATTTCTGTTCCACTTCCCCATGAAGATAACAGGAAATAAACAAGAACAAGAACTAGTAAGAAAAATAGAAGAAAACCCAGAGGGTGTGTGTATATATATATGCTTGAACATGTATATGTAGTGTGACCTAAGTGTAAGTAGAAGTAACAAGACGTACCTGTAGTCTTGCATATTTATGAGACAGGCTAAAGACACCAGCATTCCTACCATCATGTAAAACAGTTACAAGTTCTCGTTTTACACGGTAGTACTTCCCTGGACGGTTGCTGTCTGCCAACCTACTATCTATATGAAACACTTTCATCATTATTTATTCAATCACTGTCTTGCCAGAAGCATGCTGACATCACAGCTCAGGTGACCCCAGGGGTGTCGTAAGGGTGGGGCGGGCCGCCCCGGGTGACACCATTTAGGGGGGTGACACCATAGAGCCTCTAAAGAAGGTGACACTAATGCCCAAAACAGTGCTACACCAACATAAGAGAAGAATCCTTAATTTGTACATAGCCTGTTATATATTAACAAAGTACAAGTAAGCCTATATAGGGAAAATCATTGATTTTGATGATGTGGTAGATGATTTTGCATAATTGAAGGCAAGGAAATGTAAGATCAGATTCACTGAGATGTTACCTGTACTCAAGGTCAAATCGGAAATAGCGTTTCTCTGATATTGCAGTTTTTTTTTTATTTTTCAAGTTTTTTTTTCGTTTTGTCATTGTTGAAGGTGAATAAATGTAGGATCTGTTGTCTGTACTCAAAGTGGTATTTGAGTTTGTTTCCTCAATATTACTACCATTATTTATTTTATCATTAATAAAGTTGAGAAGTATTCTTCTGTTCAGTTTATGGCCTTTAAACGTTCTCATTGCTAAACAGTAGTCACTGGTCATGCAGTAGTGAGGTAACTGGAGTTTATTCCCCCTCCCCATCCTCCCGCCCTTGAATTTCATGGGGGTGACACCAAAGATGCTGCCCCAGGTGACACCAGAGATTCCACCCTGGGTGACACCAACTCTAGCGACGCCTCTGGGTGACCCTTTGAACTGCAGCATCCCCACCCCCTTTCTTCAGAGTGTAATCACCGTACTTCCCACCTTCAAGGGTCAAGTCTGACCAACCAGTTTCCCTGAATCCCTTCATGAATGTGTTACTTTGATTATACTCCAACAGCACATCAACTCATAAAATCCATTTGGTTCCACTCCTTTTTAACATGCTCACACAAGCCAGTTGAATATCCAAACCCTCAGCACTCACAACCTCCCTTGCCCCCTCCCTAATAATGCTATTTTGCTCCATCCTCTCTATATCTCCAAACTACCTCAACAACTTTTCTCCACTTGCACCTGTGTCCTTTTACCTAACTTTCCTCCATCCTCTGAATAACTTTTGGTAACTCCACATCTTCTAGTCTCCAAGCTCTGAATTGTCTGCATAATATTCACACCACACATTGCCCTCAAACACCACATCGCTACCTGCAACCTCGTTGCTGCAAAATTTAAAATTCATGTTTCATACCTATATAACAGTGTTGATACCACTTTATTCTGGTACATTTCCCTTATTGCATCCATAAGGTTCTTTGTCTCAACAGATGCCTCAGTGTACCACCCACCTTTTTTTCCCCCTCATCAATTCTTTGGTCCACATCATTTTTTATGGACCCATCTATTGACAGTTCTACTCCCAAATATCTACACATTTACTTCTTCCATACTCCCTCCAATCTGATTAGTCTCTCATTTCATAGATTTTTTTTATTCTCTTTATCTTGCTCTGTCTTATGCTTACCTTTAATTTCTTTCTGTTACATGCCCTCCTGAATTCATCTACCAAACTTTGCAACTTCTCTTCAGAATCTTCTTAATGCACTATATCATTGGCAAAAAGCAATTGTGATAACTCCCATTTTCTATCATATTTATTATCTATCATTCTCACACCTCTTCTCAACACCCTGACATTCACTTTTTTACACCCCCATCTATGTAAAGTAAAAGGACACAAGTGCAACTGATGTGACATTTTTATTGTGGCAACGTTTCGCTCTCCAGGAGCTTTGTCAAGCTCCTGGAGAGCAAAACATTGCCACAATAAAAATGTCACATTAATTGCACTTGCGTCCTTTTACTTTACTTTTTTCTTTTTTTCAACAAATCGGCCATATCCCAACAAGGCAGGGTGGCCCAAAAAGAAAAAACAAAAGATTCTCTTTTTAATATTAGTAATGCATACAGGAGAAGGGGTTACTAGCCCCTTGCCCCCAGCATTTTAGTCGCTTCTTACGACACGCATGTCTTAGGGAGGAAGAATTCTGTTCCACTTCCCCATGGAGATAAGAGGAAATAAACAAGAACAAGAACTAGAAAGAAAATAGCAGAAAACCTAGAGGGGTGTGTATATATATACGCATGTACATGTATGTGTGGTGTGACCTAAGTGTAAGTAGAAGTAGCAAGACGTACCTGAAATCTTGCATGTTTTTCTTTTCTTTCAACAAACCGGCCATATCCCACTGAGGCAGGGTGGCCGAAAAAGAAAAACGAAAGTTTCTCTTTTTAAATATAGTAATTTATACAGAAGGGGGTTACTAGCCCCTTGCTCCTGGCATTTTAGTCGCCTCTTAAACACCATAGCTTACGAAGAAGAATCTTTCCCATATCCCCAGGAGAAAAAGGGGAAATAAACAAAACAAAACTAGAAAAAAAAATAGAAAAAACCCAGAGGGTGTGTATATCAGTTCCCCGTTTCTATTCCCGCAATCGTAAATTTCGCCAATCATGGGGGTATTTTCGTAAACAACTTCTTTTTTCATGGGTTTACTAGGGTCGTAGTTCGCCGGGGACCTATCCACCATGCCCGGGGGGCAGCCAGTCGGCATTTTTTTACCAGTGACGAAGGTCCCCTCACGGCCCAGCAAAATTTTTCAAAATTTTTCCATTTATTTTTGGGTTTTTGCAAGTACAAAATAGCACCAGGGCTCCAAAAAAGCCCTATCCAACCCTGGGGGAAAGGGGTTGAAAATACTTGAATTTAAAAAAAACCACTTTAAACAAATAAAGCGGACAATGTGGAAAAACGTCCAATGTATAAAAACCCAACAACCTTAGTTCCATATGGCCAAAAAAAAAGGAAATCAAGATCTTTTGTTGAAAAGGGGGAAACTATGCTACAAAAAGAATCACCATACTTAAAGAGGTTAGAAGTTTTTTTGGGTGTATAAATGAAAACAATTAACAGAGATACTCTTATACTTCAATTTTTTGTGAAAAGGCTAGATTCCCATAAGATTTGGTAAAAAAATTGCCTGCAAATATTGGTGATGTGGTGAATTTTTGGGGCCCCAAAGGGTGGTGAGAGATTTAAGAACCCACTGCATGGTAAGGGGATGGGGGGGCTGCCCTTTCAGACCACAAGGGGCTGAAAAATATGGCATGAATCCAGGATACTAGAGGCTGAAGCTGAAACCTGAACAATTTCAATGTGAGAAACAGGCCTCTTTTGGGAAAAAAAAGCAAAAGGACCTTCATTACACAAGAGGAAAACAATGCCAGGGCACAACCAGAAAAACAGCTGACCTAATTTCGTCAATCTAGGGGGGGTTTCAAATGAATCAT